TGTAGACTGTATTTTTTTTAAGTATTGTAGTACTCAATGTCTTTTATTAAATATGTATGATATGAAAATTATCGTAATTTTTATGTTAATGTTTATCTTTAAAAAAAATAATTACATAAAAAATATTTTAATTTTTGAAAAATAATTTATTTCTAAATTATTATTTTTTAATTATTTATAATATAAATTTATATTTTAACATTTAAAATTAAAAATCAATTATATATTAAAAAAAATGGCGGATGAACAGTGCGACTGTTCATCGGCATATGAATGCCGGCGAAACTAACGTTCGGTTGGGAGGACGACAAAACTGCAAACGCGCGTTTGCAGTATGGCTGGAGACGCTCTTAGGGCATCTCCAACCGAACGCCAAATGAGCGTATGCCGTCCATCCGTCGCTCCAACCGAACGTAAAAATTTCTGCCATTTACTTACAGGTGAACAAAGCGACGCCAATATTGGCGTCGCACTGTTCACCCACGCAATTTTACTCTCTCAACCGGTAAAACGCGCGAAAGGGAGAAGATCATTAACTTCCAAAAAACATTTAAAATGACGTTAGATTGGAGCAGCACCACGCCATTTTAGAGTTCTGCATTATTTTGCCTTACTAGGGAGAAGGCGTGCTATGAATTTTTAGTTTTAAAAAATTCATATAGATTTTTTTTTTAACGCGGGGAGAAGATCGTTAACTTCCGAAAAACATCTAAAATGACGTTAGATTGGAGCAGCATCACGCCATTTTGGAGTTCTGCATTATTTTGCCGTAAATTTTGGAGTTCTCCGTTCGAGATGCCCTTACTAGGGAGAAGGCGTGCTATGAATTTTTAGTTTTAAAAAATTCATAATATAGATTTTTTTTTAACGCGCATTAAATATATATAACGCATGGTTGGTTCCCTTCGTGGCGGACGCGGTACTTCCTACGGATCTCATTGGGCTTCAGCTTCCGCCCGCGCCTCTCTTCTCCGACCTCGATACCTTACACAAACCCTATAATTCTGAAGCGAACCTCTTCAACCCTTAGATAGATCGCAGATTCCCTCTCCCTTCCGATGGCGAGAGAATTTAACGTACCTCCGGTGATTTTCCCATCCGGCGGGATCGCCAACGTCCCCCATCAGCGTCGGACTTCGGCATCGGCCCCGACACCGTCTTTTCAGCCCCCACGGCCTTCATCAAATCCCGGCCCGAGCCCTAACCTTCCCTTCATGTCCTTCGACTTCGGTGCTGCCCAACCCTCCTCCTCCTTCTCCGCCGCCCCCGTCTTTTCAAGCAATACGATCTCTTACAGCAGCTTCGATGAAGAGCCTCCTCTTCTAGAGGAGCTCGGCATCAACACCCGCCAGATTTGGAGGAAGACTGTTTCGATTCTCAACCCCTTCCGAGTGAGCGCCAATCTTCACGAAGACGCTGATCTCTCCGGCCCCTTTCTCTTCCTAATGGCTTTTGGTCTTTTCCAATTGCTCGCTGGGAAATTTCATTTTGGGATCATTTTGGGTTGGGTTACTGTTGCTGCGCTCTTTATTTACGTAGTGTTTAACATGCTGGCCGGGAGGAATGGGAACTTGGATCTCTACCGTTGTTTGAGCCTGGTGGGATACTGCATACTTCCGATGGTTATCTTCTCGGCGATTTCTCTATTCGTGCCTCGTGACGGATTTGTGATCTTTGCAATGGGGGCCGTGTTTGTGCTGTGGTCGACTAGGGTTTGCACGCTTCTTCTAGTCGAGGTGGCTTCATGTGGCGTGGAGCACCGTGGACTTATAGCATATGCTTGCTGGCTTGTTTACATGCTCTTTTCGCTGCTTGTCATATTTTGATATGCGGTGAGATTTTGGTCTCTTTGTTTTCTTTTCTTTTCGCAGCTTGTAATTGTGGATATCAATTTCTAACTTTCATGTCTGATCTAAATGGGCATCATATGCCATCTGGTTTTCCTTTTTAAGATATTTTGATTGCTCTAGATTGATTATGGTATTGTTAAATTTCTGAACTGCTCACTCCTAGTAACTTAATGTTCAAAGCATTATAATTAATTTACCCCAGATCATGAATGAATCCTTTCCGTTTCACTTTGTTTACCCAAAATCACATCTTGCATTTTCCATTAGTGACAGGAACTTGTTTTACTGGTACGCACAACTTGGATTTAGTAATTAAATTGAATTTTCTTCAGCATGCACTGAGTTTGTTGGTTTTTTTTCCTAATTCCCCACAAACTGGTTCATCGATGTTGCCTTTTTGTTCACTTTGTCCTGATATTCATCATACTGAGGGAGTTCACTGCCAGCAAATTGTCCAAGATTAGTCTAATAGTCTTCTAATTGGTACTATGGGTCTATGGTGGTTCTTAGGTGTGATTATTGCAAATCATAATCAAAGGGATTTCCAAAATGTTTAAACTCTCCGGTACAAATCAAATAAGAAACTAAAGACTGTAGACTCCCTGATGACGGACATGGTTATTAGAACAAAACTAGAGTGGTCAACATTCATATAAATCACAAATGTTCATAACACAAACCCTAAAGGTTCAATCTCTTTGATTGGTCAAAAAGCTTCAAAGATCATGTGAGAATAATTCTAAAGCTCACCTAGCCCTTGTAAGTCTAGGAAAAAAAGTGAAAGATAGTTAGTTCACTAGCGTAAGATTTTGTATGATAACTATAGTCAAGCTATTAGAGCTACTTATGGTATAATTTGCTAACAACCCAAAAGATAGTCATTTGGGGTAAGTTTCCAATCAACATGTCTGACAATTGGGCTAGACCTCCAAAGCTGTTTAAGTTTGACAATCTTGACAATTAAGGTCAAAGAAGACTAATTAGCCCTTAAAAAAGTCTTGATTGGACCAACGATATTAGTCTAATTAGGTTTCAATTCCAAATCCAAGATTTTTACCTTGATGATGGGTTCAGTTATCATGAAATCATAAACATAGGAGTTCATATCAAAGCTAGGTTATCTCCTACAATGATAAACACTTCGAGCCATTTCCTTTGATAAAAAATCAGCCACCACTTATCCCCCACACCAGCTTGCCAAAGATGAAAGTTTTAAGTTTGATAAATACTTAGAAAGAGCTAATGTTATATCAAATATATCATATAATCACACCAACAACTTCATGTCAATAAGGACGTGACACTTGCTTCATGAATGAGCGGTTAGCCTAGTTGTGATAGCACTACTAAATTATAATCAAGGGCTAAACCTCAATACTATGCAATGGCTAACCCTATGAGTTATGAGCTATAAAATGCACATGATAATCGTAAGGCTTTCTATTAGCCAAAGTTATTTAGTTGTGATAGCACTACTAAATTATAATCAAGGGCTAAACCTCAATATTATGCAATGGCTAACCCTATGAGTTATGAGCTAAAAAATGTACATGATAATCGTAAGGCTTTCTATTAGCCAAAGTTGGTTTAAAATTGACCCATTCAATAAATTTCACCCTACATCTGTGAAGTCTTCTCCCCACTAGAATAGGAGAGCGTTGAACCATCACGTGCTTCTATTCTCCTTTCTCTTCAAAATGCAAGGAGATGATAACATTTTTGTATTTGTTTGACTTTACTACACCAAAGGTGGAGAGTCGTTATGAGGTTTAACTGTCAGATTAGGAGGACTTTGAGCCACAAGATAGGCTGAAGAGACAAAATCTTGACCTTTCCTCCTTTGAAGTAAATTCTTTACCTTTTGTATGCTTGCATGGATGAAGGCACATTTCCAATTCTTCATCATTCTCATATTCATCGTCATAAATATGGATGACTTATTTAGAATCCATAGTTGTAACCTCTACAATGAGATATAAATAGAAATGAAGTCATTTATCCAATAAGAAGCATAAGAATGGCAAAGTTAAGTCATTGAACTAAGTGAAGAACAAAAATGCAAATTTGCCGATCAACCGCTAATCTAGGCATCTTGAAATGTGCTCGAGCACTCCTCACAATAATGACATTAACATAGGATTGCAAGTCAATTTTTTTTTCTACATGAATGCCATAAGATTTTTCTCAATTTTGGTCAATGTTGGTACTCCAGACTGTTCTTCTATAGTAGTACTCAGACTCTAGTATCTTCCGGCCCTTGGGACAATTTATTTCCATTATTTTATTTTGTTCTCAAGGCGTCCCATTTTCCTGAAACAAGAATTAAGAGCATGTCCCAATTCTTCCATACCCTCATATGGGAAAAGGTAAGGTATTTAGTGACCACTTTGTTTTTCATTTGAGAAGAAAGAATTTATGAGAAGCAATACCTGTGCTTAAGATTTAGAAGCCTCTTTATTTTTGTTAGTCATGTTTTTTGATCGGGAGATCTTAAAATTCTTCCATTGGAGAATATTTACATGTTCTTTAAGCTGAAGGGAAAGTTTTCGGGAAAGAAGAGAAAATTTGAAATGATTAATTAAAATTTTATCTCTTTACTTCAAATAAGTGCATTAACATGATCTCGAATGAACTCTTTTCTAATGCCTTACCCACATTTGTTAAAATGCAACCATATTTGGGTTTTTTATTTTATTTTATTTTTCTTCTTTGTGGGTTCTTTAATGCAAAAAAGAATTTGAGGATTAACAATGTGTTAGGCCGGTTCAACCTGAACTGGCCCAACCAGCCCAAAGGCCGGCTCAGGTTTACAGGAGGCGGACAAGTGCTGCCTCCTTTCTCGCTTGCCGCCCACACTAGTGGCCCCACTAGGAGTAAATTGATGAGAGTGGATTGGGTGGCTAGGGTGAGAAGGAAAATTTTTATTAAGGATGCTTGAATTAGGGAATTAATGTGATGCGGACATCCAACCGTCCATGTCTATCCGATGAGGAGCTGAAGATCGACGGCCATCATCGTTCCACGTTATCTTAAATTTTATTTGTAATATTTATTTTTATTATGAATTTTTCATTTTTATTCTCACTTAAGAGGATTGTTCTATGTAAACCCTAGGGGCATATGTATTTTGTTTTAGTTTCTTAGCCCTATATATAGAGGACCTTGCTTGTGTAATATAATGATGAATTATTAATAAAAAAGAATTGGAGCATTTGTCTTGATCTCTGTATGAGTTATGGAGAGGAAAAGTCCTATGTGAGGACAACCTTGTTTCCACCAGCTGCAGGTTGGATCCAGGCTCGTGGATTGAAGTCCCTTGGGGAGGGCAACGTAGTACCCACCAGCCGCAGGAAGAGTCTGGGCTCGTGGTTTGTATCGTTTTTTTTTTCTTTGTTCCCCCTCCTCTCATCTCTAGCCTCCATCATTCATCATCTGTTTTTATTTTATTTCGTTTGATTTTTGCTAACTTTTCTTTTGGATTAAACATCAACCCTCCCACCTCCATAGCTGGCCGACCACCTCACCCCTAGCCTCTTCGCTCCTCCACAAATTCTGAATTTTGAATTCAAAATAGCCTCTTTATTACCTTCATAAATTACTCTATTGTTAACTTGAAAAATTCCTAATTTGAATTCATAGATATTTGAATTTCAAATCTTTTTCAAATTAATAAATCTATTTTTGAAAGCTTTCCCCAAATTCCTCTAAATCTGAAATCAATTTCAGATTTAATATCAAATCTCATTTAATGCCTTGGGCCATATACATCATATGTGGACATCTCTCCCCCTCCTTTGGCCGCCCCCCTTTTCTCTCACATATTAATTAATTCCCCTCAATTATTTCTTTCAATCAAATTGCTTTCCTTCTAAAATTTATTCTTTCCGAAATTAAGTTGTTCTAATTTTGATAAGTTTTCAAATTCAAATTCAAACGAATTTGAAATTTCAAATTCTTTCCTAAATTATTTAGCTTAATTTTGGAAAGCCATCCTTCAATTAAGAATTGGGTAAATCAGAAATTAATATGGAATATATTCAAATTCCACATTCATTGAACCTGGGCACCCTATCCCCTTTCCCACTCTCTTTGGTCGACCCCTTCCCTCACTTTTCCAATTAATTTAAAAATTCTAAATTCACATGACCCCCACCTTTCGTTCTACATCAGTTTGGTATCAGAGCATGGTTGCTCACTCGGGACACGAACTCGACGGAGTCAAGCTCTTTTTCATCCCAAGAGAATGATGCGGACATCCAACCGTCCATGCCTATTCGAGGAGCTGAAGATCGACGACCGTCATCGTCCCACGTTATCTTAGATTTTATTTGTAATTTTTATTTTTATTATGAATTTTCCATTTTTACCCTCACTTAAGAGGGTCGTCTTATGTAAGCCCTAAGGGCATATGTCTTGTTTTAGTTTCTTAAGTCTATATATAGAGGTCATTGCTTATGTAATGTAATGATGGATAATTAATTAAAAAGAATTGGGGCCTTTGTCTTCAGCTGTGTGTGAGTTCTGGAGAGGAAAAGTCCTATGGGAGGACAACCTTGTTTTCACCAACCGCATGATGGATCCGAGCTCGTGGATTGAAGTCCCTCGAGGAGGGCGACGTAGTACCCACCAGCCGCAGGAAGAGTCTGGGCTCGTGGTTTGTATCATTTTTATTTTATTTTTCTTTGTTCTCCATCCTCTCATCTCTAGTCTCCACCATTCACCATCCGTTTTTATTTTATTTCTTTTGATTTTGGCTAACTTTTCTTTTGGATCAAACATCAACCCCTCCACCTACATAGCCGGCTGACCACCTCACCACCTAGCCTCTTCCCTACTCCACAAATTTTGAATTTTGAATTCAAAATAGACTCTTTATTTTTTCCTAAATTACTCTATTGTTAACTTGAAAAGTTACTAATTTGAATTCAAAGATATTTGAATTTCAAATCATTTCCGAATTAACAAATCTATTTTTGGAAGCCTTCTCCTAATTCCTCTAAATCTGAAATCAATTTCAGATTTAATATCAAATCTCAGTTAATGCCTTGGGGCACATACTTGTATGTGGACATCTCTCCCCTTC